TAAATGGTGAGTTTCCTGTTAATGTTTCTCTCTATCTGGCAGCTGGGGGAGGGGGTCACACAGAAACAAACTGTGAGTAGGGAAGAAGAAAGGGGGTGGGGACTGGACAGAAGAATTTACAGTAGAAATGAGATAACGAGCGATACAACATGACTGGTTAAACTTCAGCCTTCATTTCTCATGTCCTCTGATAGGGCCTGCCGAGTCAGCAGCCACACACACACAACGAATGAATGCATACATGCCATACAGCCACAACTGCATTTCAGGGTTTTATGAAAGAGATCATTCAGAAATGCTGCAACATGCTTAAATCATTTAACGTTGCGGCATTTAAGACACCCTTGGGTGCTGAGTTTTAGAAACCTCACCAATTTATAATGTCACAATGCATTGAGTTAATATAATGTGTTTGTATCTGTGGAGGGGGATGTGTGAACGCTGTACAAAGACATTATTTACAGACTTAGTCACATATCCTCAAGTTCTCCCTGCTCCACTTTGGTTAAGATAAACAACCTTTGTCCACAGTATTTCTCAACAGCCTCTCTGAACCGAATAACACACCACTGCACTGAGTTGTAATCACTCACTCAATCAAATCACAGAATCAATAACTAATGGCACTGTAAACACGTGCACCCTTTGCCCTTTGGATCCAACTTTGAATAGTTGATCACGTCCCAGTCCCACTGTGTGATACTACGCTCTACAGATGTTTGAAGGCCAGATAAAGAGAGTCTGTAAAAGGAAATGATCAGACACAAAAACAAGTGATTCAATTAATGCAGCGTTTCTTTTAATCTCCTGATGTGATATCAAAGTCTGGTATCACAGAGTGTATTTGGCATAATGATGGCATGTTAGAGTGCAGAGAACACTGATTGTGTTTACAATGGGAGGCTCTGACGTGCTTTGTGTCCAAACAGCTCGTGATGAAAGACCCTACCATACAGCAGATCTGCTCACAACAGCAGATACACTTTGGCCTCAGGATTTAAGTGATCAATACTGAGATAAAGTAGTGCTTTCGTGCTGCTTGGATTGCAAAGACCAGAGAATATGTGTCTTAATATAACTTTTAGTAGGCTATTAATGCTTTTTTGAATCAAATGGGGCTTTAAATACTTAAAATCCCACTAAAAGAGAAAAGCTTCACTCAATTTCACAGTTGAATCACTTGTAATATATTTAACAGAATTTTGTTTGTGTCATATAGACTGGTCCACACACCCTTTTATATAAGTATATTGTTTGAATTCACTAAAAAGACACATCACATTTGACCTTTAACTTCACCTTTGCTCTGGTGATATTAAAAATTACCTATATTTCAAAATACTTTGATTTACTCCATTTAGAACAACAGCACCACCTAGCGGACACAATTAGATCTCATAGCGGATACACAACATACGCCATACGCAGTTTGTTGGTGTGTGTGTCAAAGCACAGGTCTTAGTGGTCTTAGTACACATTACCCAAGCAAATACTTTTCAAAAATGTATTGCTTTTTGTGGTTGCAGTTGAAAAATATGTATTTTCTAAAAAAAGTCTCTTTATTTTCTAGAAGTATGTATTTACAACGTATAATATAATGATTATATGCAGTCATTCTAAATAATATATATTATTTAGCAAATGTATATTATTGATTATACTCGTGATTAAAACAAATCGTAACCATTTTGTGAGTGTGTTCCTTCAGGCTATCTAGGATGTTTCTCATGGCACTTTATGAGAAATTAAACGCTTGCTAAAAACTACAAGTCCCACAATGCAACAGTTGTTTTTATATCCAAGGGAAAGTCAGGAACTGTCTAAACTTACTTTCATTTTCGCTTTTTCTGCTGAGTAACTGTGAGTATTGGATCGTGTCGTGCACGGCATTAAATTACACACAGTTATTGTTCTTGATTACAGTTTGTTCAAATTTAAACGCTTTTATAAACGTATTAACTCATTTTTCATCCACAGAGACGAAATGGCTGCTGTGGGTATTCGTGTCGAGTCGAAGAAACAGGTGAGCTCGTATGTCTGCTAGCATGATGGTATCAACCCCTTTCTCTTCAAAGTGTCTGTCTGTCTGCCTGTCTGTCTCAGGTGTTCAGTTAAATGTTTGTTCTGATAACTAGACATACAGGTTTGACTAGATACTGTGTGTTTAAATATAATCGTTAATCCCTCAATTGAACCTATAATCTCTTCACGTGCAGGTGGATGACTTCTGCCAGAAGCTCACCAAAGAGGTAATGTATATTATGGTCAGAAACCTCTAGCAGCTGTCCCATACATATGTTTGTCACATTATATAAGAAACGTTTTGAGTCTATGAACCACATTTGTTTTGGTTTTTTAATTAACAGGCAGAAGAGCTGGTTTACAAGTTTTTCCCTCAGAAGATTGAAGAGCTGCAGATGCTGCTGAAGGTATATGTGACTCTATTAGCCATATCGTAGTCTAGTATTCGGATCCTTTTATGAAGTAAAAGTACAAACACAGTAGTGTATAAATACTACATTTAAAGTAAGAATATTGCATGAAAAATCCTATTAAGTCCAGCACTTGATTAAAAGTACGTATTTATTTTCCAGTACTGGGCCCTGAAGGGGATTTTGGAGTGAGTGGCTGGATTGATTTTGCAGCCTGCTTCCTGTTCTTTTTTCTCAACAATAGAACTTTTTATAGCTTAGTGTCTTTCGGCTGATCCTGAGCTGAAAGAGCACTTGACATATGAAAGGGTAATTCAATCCCTAAAAGATGTAACAAAACATTTATGTTTTTCTATCAGACTTTCCTCAGCTGTGATGACCTGGCGTCTCTGAAGGCTCCGCTGGACATCCCGATCCCAGACCTAGCCAAAGAGGAGGCCAAACGCAAGAAGAAAGAGGAGGTCTGTCCCACTTCACGAAGCATTGAGGCTGTCTAAAAATATTATGCCACTCCAATAAAGGAAGCATGCTGATTGGAAGAAGCCAAAATACTTTAAGGCATACAAGAGATTTCTTTGTTTTAGAAGGCAGAAAGTGTGACCAATTATCAGTGTAATGCTTAATTAAGAGCACTTCAGGGTTTTTTTAGAGGATGAATGGGAAGTAGACACCAGTTCTGTAGTAAATTAGTGTCATAGGCTTCATAATAGGTAGTCTTAGTTAAGTGTTTTAGTTTCCTAACCATCACATTTCTCCTTGGGCGCTGCATAAAGCCAGTCGACCGGGATCCTCTGTCAAGGATTTATATTTAGTGTTTTATAATATGTCTGAATTGCGTGTTACTATGGTTACAATTGCTGTGCCTAACCAAGGACTGCTTCAGAATCCAGAAGAGAGTGGGTGATATTTAAAAATCTAAATTGACCTGATATGCTTTTTTTTTATCTGGCATCAAAAAAGCTTCAATTTTTTTATTGGAATGACATTAAATATAGTTCTTACAAGTATACTGAATGTGCTGTATGCAGCATACAATGATCATTGACTTTAAGAGGAAAGCAGAAAAATCACTCAGTAAAATGACCCTTTATTATTTATATCCCTTATGTATGCTCTCCTTTTTATTTTAGCAGCTGTCACAATTCACACTTGGATTAAGAGGAGGGCGCAGCGCTGCCAATCTCAGTAGTTTTATTTGGGGAAAACTGGCTTGAAATAATAATTGGGATTATACAGCCGCTCTGGGAACAAACCTGGCTGTTGGGGTGCGTTCAGAAGCTTTGTGCACGGAGCAGGGACTGATGGAACTAGGTTAAATTTCTTAGACAAAGAAAAAACGTTGACATCTTCATTTAGCCATGTAAAAAAAGCATGTGGAAGAGCTGTCTAAGAGATGAATAGGCACTGAAAACTCTTTGACCTGCTGCCTCCTGTTCTCATGTTGCAGAAAGAGGCCAAAGAGGGGAAGAAAGACAAGGACGGCGATAAAGAGGACGAGGATTCAGGTAGGCATGAGGACGATGTCATAAATCAGCATACTGCAGTGGATGTAGAACACTTTGCAACACTATCAGTATTAAACGGTCTGTTTTTTGTTTTTTTTATCCCTCTTCAATTGCAGTTTTCTGTATATGAATTTTTTTTTTATAAAAGGGGAAAGTGGTAATATAAAGAGAATGTCAGCATTGCGATTTCAAAAGTTTAATTTCACAAACCTCATTGCAAGAGGTAAACCATTATAAAAGGGAATTTAAAAACATGAAATATTTATGAATACATTAGCTACAAAACAATCCCTGCAAGATATAATTGATTGGTATTTGTTTTTCAAGACATTTTATATGCATGTAAATAAAAAATCTTAGAAAGCACACCAAGTGACGCCTTATTGAACCTGATTGATCTTGTATTGTGAATAATAAAGCAATATTTTGGGATGTTTTGTCCTCCAGGGCCTCCTTGTGGTCCCATCTGCAGCAACGAGAAGGTGGAGAGTCTCCTGCAGGAGGTGAAGCCTCAGGTCCAGACTCTGAAGGAGAAGCTCAACACGGTCAGTCTCTTATTTAGTGTTTTAGCTAGATTTTATAACAAGAAGTAATTATTCCCAAATGTAGTGTAGCCTTTACTTCTCTAGTGCATAGCATATATAAGGAATATGCCTCTGGGTGCATGATTTCATGCCAAACACATTTATAAAGTAGTGTTGGGTTGTAATTGTTTTGGCTGCCTTCATCCCAAACTTGTATACTGCATTAAATACTAAAACTAATCAGATTTTCCTGGGCAGGTGTCCATGTGGGTGCAGCTCCAGATCCCTAAGATTGAAGATGGAAACAACTTTGGAGTGGCTGTACAGGTGGGTAAACAAGGAGGATTTGTTAGAGCACTAGAATATTTGGCATTTGGTTTACTAGTTTCTCTAGTGAAATGTGTCGACTAGGTTTTATATATATATTTTTCCAACAGGAGAAAGTATTCGAGCTGCTGACCAACACACGCACCAAGATCGAAGCATTCCAAACTCAGATTTCAAAGTAAGAGCCCACACATGCAGTATGTCACTTTTGGTTGACCATTTTTATTTATTAAAATGATAAAGAAAAAGTACAGTCACACAAATATATTGTTTTATCGGTGTGGATGTGTTAGCTTAGCATTTTAGCTAAACGCCAAACTAGTATTTAGCACTCTCCCATAACTGTCACTTTTAGCTGCAGTGGCCACTGATCCGCATGTTACAGATTTGCTTCAATCACAATTAGATATCACCATTTTTAAATGTTTGAACAATTACTGGGAACATTAAGTGATTTAAAAGATGTTTAGGCCTGTTTATGAATGTTATAAACTTTTCTTTCTGCTCTAAATTAGATATTACAGTGAGAGAGGTGATGCTGTGGCCAAAGCCTCCAAACAAAACCACGTGGTCAGTATCTATTTTAGTCTGTTGTCAGAGTGGTTTAAGAAACATGTATTTGTGCTTCTGTGTGTCATTTGTCAAACACATTCCTGGATGAGCCATGTTCCGTGTGTTTCTGCTTATAAACTCTGTCTTGTGCTCTCTGCTGCAGGGAGACTACAGACAGCTGGTCCATGAGCTGGATCGGTATCAGTACTGTGAGCTCCGCCTTGCAGTCCTGGACATCCGCAACACATATGTAAGACTCCGTTTAATATATTTGTCAGTGTAGAGAAATCTGGAAATGGATCAGATAGAAAATTGCATTAAAAAAGCAACTGTTGATCATTTGACGTCATTACGGTCCGTGTCATCTGAATATTGTAAATCACATTTATCAACGTTAATATTCCATCTGTTGTCATCACGCTCTGCACTTTAAATATAAAACTACCCGCAATCTATAAAATATTCCAGTCTTGTCCCGGCGGCTAAATGGAATCCGTTCCTTCTTAATAGGAGGGTAATTAAACTAATTGCTGTGCTTTCGTAAAATTGATTGGTGCTCCATCCCGAATCCATTAATCAGTGTTTGTCTCCTTCCTCTGGCTATTGTCCTCCTGTGTTTGATGCTGTTAATGAACAAGGCGGTACAGGTGATGATGAAAGGAGCTGTTTGACGTGATTATAGCTCTGGATCTGATCGTCTCCCTCTCTTTTTATTACTGCCTCTGACCTTTCTGTCTCTCTCACACGTCGTCCATCTTTCTAATATCTTCTTTCTCGCGCACCATTTCCACTGATGTGTCTCGCTGTATCTCCCTCTGCAGGCTGTGCTGTTCGACATCATTAACAAGAACTATGACAAGATTAAGAAGCCCAGAGGAGACGGAAAGGCTCTCATCTACTGAGACTGCAGCACACTCCCAGGCTTCTCTAACAAGATGCAACCAGTGTTGTGTGACACTCAAGTAACATTACACCCGCTCTGACAAAAATGTCTTCTTTTTTTCATTGTGCCTCCCTTTTGGTTCAGATTACAAAATAAAGCAACATATTCCGATACTTTGTCTGCTCTCATGTTTGTCCGAATGGGAATTTGAACTCTGGTTTCACACAAACATTGACCTACATTTTCTTATTTTATTTAATCAGGAGTCCAATTGCGATCAAGAATCTCTTTTTAAAGAAAGACCTGGACAAGACAGGCAGCAACACAAATATAATGGAACCAAAAACAATTATAGGGTTTAGAAAGTACGTTTTGTTTTTTTACCATGTGACTTAAAAACCCTTGTACCTATCAATTTAGTTTAAAGTCTTTTTTTGCATCATACTCTATGCTAAGGGTGCAGAATACAAGCATTCAGGACTAATGGCACAATTTCCTGTGAATGCAAAAATTATCACCAGGCCTAATAAGTCATTTGCCTATTGATATGGTGCCAAGAGTTATTTGGTGTTTCATCTCTGACAACCCTAAACGGAAGCCATTTTGACTTGAGCCTGAGCTTTAAAGGTCTGTCATGTCCCTAAAACATGATCTATTAATGCTTTTCAAACTACTGAGGCTGTTTGTGGATGTCCGTGGTGGTAAAAAGCCCCTCTCCCGGCAAAGCAGGACAGCCCCAGCTGGGTTTGAGTCTGTACCACCCCTGATAGAGGCCCCTCCATCCCAGGTAGCCCAGAGCTCCTCCTAGATGCTGGGCCGGGAACTTTGGGAAGTGTGCAAGCAAACACAGAAGCAGGAACATCCATAGAGAGAGAAGGACTACACACAGAAGGAAGATTAACCTCAAAGGGGCTCCTGGCGACATCTTTGTTTGAGCAAGGTAAGGACCAAAGACAGACATTTCCTCCACAAGCAGCAGGCAACACAAGCAGACGATGAGGACGTCCTGGGACACTTCGTAACCTCTCCACACCATGTTGGCTCTGAGGCAGGAGAGCTTTGTGCAGTCTTCATGCAGGAGCAGCTGTACCGAGGAGCCTTTCAAAGGTTCATAACATGTTCCTGATGCGTCCTCCAGCAGGGCGAGGAGACGGTGACAGACACACAAGAGCAGCCCTACCACAACGATCCGGGAGAGGTGGCGCAGGAGGAGGGAGCGGGGGTGACGGGCTGAGATGGAGAGGAGAAGGATGAAGGAACCTGAGAAGATGCAGGTCCAGCCCCAAGTAGACTTCAAGAACTTCCTGTGAGAGAACAGAAATCCCATGAAAAGTCACTATAAATCCTCAAAATACAATACAACCATGCAGTAAAAAGTCATATATTTGTGCCTCTTCCAAATCGGATCTACTGGAGGTTTATAAGGTAGAGTATATTAAATCCACTTAAATTTGTTCTAGCAAAGGATGAACGGTGGTGAAGGAGATTGGCTTGAATTCTCAAATAACAAATAGCTTTATGGTAATTTATTCACTTTTAAATATTACAATATATTAACTTTTAAATATTACAATATATTAACCTTTACTGAATGGGCCTCAGGTTAGGATAATGCTAAATGCTAATTCATGACGTACGAGTGGCACAGGTAAAAAGGAGTCTGGCAGAATTTGTTAGCATTAGCTAATAAGCTAATTTTCATGCCAGTCTGAAAAAGGCTGTAGAAGCAAAACCCTTTGTACTGAATGAGAAAGGATGTATCCTACTGCTCGTAAATTAAACTGTCCACTTCAGGACAAAGAATGTGTGAAAACTTGTTTTAAAAGTTAACATAATTTCACACCAAGAATGATAAAGATGACACAATACATCGATTTATTAACTATTTACGTACAATGACTTAACTTATGTACTTATGTCATACCCGTGTAAGTCTGTTTGGACATTAGACATATTCATGACTACCCACTTAATTTTTGTTTGTGTAAAGTGTAAGTTTAGCTCTAAAATGTAACTGTCTTTCAACCAGGTGAGTTAAATGACCTTTGGGGTCATAATGAGACCCCTTCATGACAAGTTTTAAAGAAGCATGCAGATCTAACTGAAAATCATGCGGCCACTTTATCAGTTTCCAGCAGTAGTGTACTCTCACATATGACATTTCCATTTAAAAGCAGAATCACAACCATACCTGTACAGGTAGTTGTTGCTGTTGGCGAAGATGCTGTACCTTGGCACCCAGAGGCTGAGCACAGGACCAAACAGCAGCAACGCAGACAGCATCAGGTGGAAGTGTCCTCTCACCAGCTTGCTCCCTAACATCCTGGCCAGCAAGTTTGTTACAAACACCAGAGCAGCATTCAGGAGTCTCACGAGGAATTTTCCCAGCAGTATCAGCTCTGCAGCCATCTTTTGCAACTTCTCCAAGTTGATCTGTGTTGAGAAGCCATTTGAGGAGTTTTCAGTCTTTAAATCCATGTCCATTTGTCCTCCTGATGAGACCTTAAGTAGTTTTTGAATTAAAGTGTTCTCCTCTTCTTTGCTCTTTGTGTCCATTTGAGCCCCTTGGTGGAGTCTGCGTCACTTTCTTTTGTCTTTGAAAGGCACACCAGTTCTGCTCTGGGAGCCTTTCTACTTTATCACTGTCAGACGTGCAGGGGAACACATGGTTTATAAAAATACAACCCCTCTGTCCCTTTTACCCTCCAAAGCCCTCCCCCTCTCAACATAGACTCTGAGTGTGGACATGCTAATAGCTGCTGCTGTAAGTGACCCAGTTATTCTCTAAAAAGGATCCAACGTTTTGTGAATTTGCTCCTTGCGACTACTTTGGAAATATTGCTGTTAAAAGAAGCATTCTGACATAAAATTAGCTCCTTCTTTGGTTCTCTTTCAGTCTCTCCATTCTTAGCATCAGCTGTCAGAGCCAACACTAATTTAAGTTGTAAACTGTTGCCAGTCTGCATTTGGCGCCATCAACAGCTGCGTTTCTCCCAGCACTTTGTCCCCCTTATTTCCAGGCCCAAAGCCACTCCAACCCTCTCAACTCCCAGAGCCAAATTGAGTAAATGTAGTCTTTCCGTGGGATTTATGCTCCATAAAACATACAAGAACTGCTTTCACAAGCCAGGACATCCAGTCCCACTACTAATACAGGCTCTACACCCATAGTAACAGCAGTAAGAAAAGTCCATAAGTTATTTGTTACACAGATGTTATAGTGTTCATGTGATTAGATACAAGGGGGAGACTTTCTTCCCATAATTCAAATGCAAGATCGCAAGTGAATTCTGATTTAAAATGACTAAACAAAGAGGAAAAGCATTTTTGATTACTTTCCAAGTTTTCCTCAGATGTGGCCTCCTTTTCCTGATAAATGATTATTTCCTTTCCTTAAAACTGTAGCCGAGAGGATGAATGATTACCACCGCTGTTTTGTGATATATTAAGTAGGAAGTGAAAATAAAACCAGACATGTCAAGGAATCTCCGTCTAATTTTAGACCACTTAACTGCATTGCTGTCATTACAATGACCTTCAAGTGACAGCAGCTTATTGTCAGTTGTCTGTTATGCGCTTCTGGCAAATTCAATTTGTAGGGGAAATAAACTGTTCATGTGATCTGTGTTCAGTGTGACGAGTGTCTAAATCGCCACTTCTCCATTTAGTTCACTCCTAACTCTATATGTAATTGCAGCATTTTCTCTGAGTCTCACTTGTGCATGTTTAAAGCTTTGCCGATAGAGAACATTTGAAAACATCTACGTACTTCATTCTCACACAATGTAGTATCCTGCAATACATTGAAAGAAAGCTTTTATTGTTACTGTAAAACAATGTTCTGAGAGTGAACTATGAACACCTGAAAATTGCATATACAGATCAGTGTGTACGTTTTGATCCAGTCCCTTCACAAAGTAATACCTATTATTATCACACACATTCAAATCTTTGAAACAGATCAGAGGTTTATATTGGAAAACACCCAGGGCTTGTTTTACAGAGTAGAGTGCTGACACATGATCAATAATAAGACTTCAGACCATCGCTGTGTTTACTAGAGGGGTTGTGTTTAAACTTGAGACAGTTTGAAGAGGTTTGAACATAAAATCATTATGAAATTGAAAGTAAAAGTCATGTTACGGGTTTCCCGGTCAACTTGGTATAATGGAAAACGAAATAGGATGTTGGCCACTAGGAAGTTTCCCTAATTTGGGGCAATTGGTAAATAATGTGCTGGATTCATATAATATAACCAGCCTTTAACTTGACAGCCCCTCAAATAGGACACAGCATATGTCATTAATAACACCAACATCCTAATCAGCACACTGACAACAATCTAAACCCCCTCCCTGAATGCACATACCATTAAAATACTATACATTTATACAGAATTACCCTTGTCAGTTTCTCCCTGCATCACCCAAAATGGATTTCTATATAACCAACTTACCATTCATTTTTTCGTTGTTCATTAAGTAAGTGCCGTGCTACATGTTTGAGCACGTTTCCCGGGCCAAGTGTAGAAGCTTTGGCTTGTTGACAGTGAGGCAAAAACAAAAACAGAAGCAGGCCGTCCCACTGAGTCCTAATCTGCACTTGGATGTTAGGCTTTATTGCCCTCCAGATTTACACTTTTCAACTTGTTGTAATTGAAATCAATCATATCCAGCATTGAATGTAAAGGATGGTTAAGTCTCCCTGTCCTTCAGGGCTTATTGTCTTCCTTCGTTAGGGTCAGCGGAGCTCTTTCTGCAGTGAGGTCATTTCCTCATCTTTTCATTTGTGTCTCTTCTTCTTCTTCTTCTTCTTCTCTCACCATCTTAAAGGTTTTTGTCCGTCATCGGACAGTCTCTCTCCCGCTCTCTCTCCTCCTCTAGCGGATGGGTCTCTCTGTGCTCCCACATTCGCACCGCTCCGTCCCACTGTGGAGAGACAAAGGTGGATGAGGACAGGGTCACTCAAACATCCTGTCTTTGCAACACTTTTCTGCAAAACTTCAAACTTCTCTTGATTTCATGGTACTGCGTTAACTTGAGAAAACAATATCTGGTGTAATTCCCCTCAATAAACATTTATAATTAAAACAATATCTCTGATCACAAGCGTTTACACATGGACTCCAGTTAGACTCACAGAGCTGCTGATGATGTTGTCCTCGTACGGGTGCCAGCTGACGTCCCTCACACACGCTTCATGACCCGACAGTCTGGAGACCACGCTGCCCGTCAGAACGTCATAAACTGGAAAGAAGACACAAGAAAAATCAACATATTCAGTACTTGTCTGCATCATGCCCCTCTAATTACCCGACTGCATTGATTTCCCATGTAAAACTACACAGAGATGATGCAGCGTTAGAAGGCAATCCACAACATAGGGCCAATACTATAATGGAGACACATAATACCAGTCCTACACATTGCAGACACACATATGATCACATGGTGAGACTCACTGATGATTTTGCCAGTGGAGCAGCCAGAGTAGATGAACCTCTGCCCGGTGGTGAACTCTGGAGAGAAACGGCAGCGGACGAGGGTGTGCAGAACGCCGTGACCGCGGTATGTCATCACCGAGGTGTCGCCTGTCAGCTTGTGTCTCTTCAGGGCTGCAAGAAACACATACAAAACTAAGTGATCACAACTACATAGAGAGCTCATTTATGTCCTTAACATCTGTATTCTGGCTTAAAAAATAGGCAGATGTTTGTTTTTTGAGGATTTTCCCTCCCTGCTGGATTTCATTACCCTAGCTCCCATCCTTCACCTCTCCTCTAGGCCCTCCATCCTCTTTGACTTGCATTGGTTATTTTTCCATGCGCTGTTTAAATAATGTCATATCCCCTCACCCTCAAGACACATGTCCACCCACGTTCCACCTCCCTGTCATTGGCCCTGTCTCGCTCCTTTGATAACGTCACATCATGTTTATCTCCTCCTCTTTTCTCCAGACGTGTCTCCTCTCGTCCTCTAACTTCACCCTCCTGACTCATTCACCATTAGTGTCTCCTTCTCTGCCTCACCTCTCTGGGGAACCTGCTGCCAGCGGTAATCCCAGTTTTGTTGCGTGACAGCCAGACGGGAAGCTGCCAGCCCCTCTTTGGGGGAAAACTTCCTGATGTCCCAGAGCTTGATGGACTGGTCCTTGGAGTTGCTGATCAGATAGCGTGCGTCTCCCTAGCAGAGCAGCAACACATGAGGAGTTTTAGACAGAAAAGAAAACAAACCTCCGGGTAGATTACACTAGGCTAATATTAGCTTTTCATTAATCAACTTCCAACCAATCATCGGTCAAATCCAACTACCAATGAGGCTTCGGTGGAACTTGTCATTGACAGATTGATAAAACAACAGCAGCATTCCTCCCCTCGCCCCCCCACCTTGCTGTGAATGAAGGTGATGCCGTCTCGGTGTCCGGCCAGCTGTCCGACAGGCTGCGGTCTGTCCTCCCGCAGCGTCCGTCTGTCCCACACCTTGCACAGCGCGTCGTCGCTGCCAGAGAAGAGCAGCTGGGACGAGCTGTCGGCGAACGCCACCGCATTCACGTCGTCCTCGTGGGCATCAATCTGCCGAGCAGAAGAGAGAGTCAGTTTTTCTGTGCGAGCATGTGGGGAGATTGTTTGATTTTCTTTGTGAGACACAGTGTGTTATATAAATGACTGTGTGAAGGTGTGTGTGTACGTCAAGATCGTGACAGAAAATGGATGCATGCCTCAGACCCGGCGCCAGAACAAATCTAAAGGGAGGGCATATGATTTGCATGGGAGGGCACACAAAACCGTCACGTGCTGCGGGCCTGCGGCACAATATATATCAAACAGCAAGGCCAACGGCATTGCGTAAAGACGCACACTTATCGCAAACATACACAAATAAAGGGCAACATAGAAGCCACTTTGAAACATTGTGTGCGTGGCAGCACAGACACTGGTAAATCACGAGCAAGGCACACTGGTTACGGATGGCAGCTTCCTCATCGCTGCACTCGGAGAGAAATAGTAGAGACGGAGACGATGAACTGTTTAGCCCGCCTTGGGCATGGTTTATGTTCCGATGCACTGCACTCGGACATGCTGTGGAGTGAATCGAGTCACCTCTGAGAGGGAGTTGGTTGACAGCTAAAAAAGCTATAATATCAATGACAGCTGACACGTAATAACGGCTCCGTGCCAGCTGATCTGCACCAAAGTTCTAATTTCCTTATTTGTTTCCTCTCGTATCTCTCTCTCTCTCCACAAACTCTCACATGAAATGTGTTCTTTTGATGCGGCATGCCTTAGCAGTCCTTTATCAGTCTGTAATGCATGTTTCCAGTCGCAAAAACCTTTGACAGTAAAAGCCACATCAGATGAAGACGTATTTACTTTAAACTGTCTACAGGGGAAACAAAAGGCTGCGTCTGCTTTTAACACATCTTCAAGCCATGGTCTGTTGTACCATGCAGCGGCAAAAGTGCGCTTCTTTCCTGAAAACAATCTCCCTGGATAACGATCCAGCTTCACCTGCTTGGGTTTATTAACCCCAGATCATCGCTAACTCAGCCCCGGGGTTTGCCGAGGTCAAGCTTGTGACATTAAGGCGTGCTGCTGCAACGGCAGGTGCAGAGTCGCCAGCAGCACCATCGGCTGCAGTTCTTTCATCGCTATTTCGTTTTAATAAATCCTTAGACCTTTTAAGCCAATTTTTTATGTCCATTTTGTAATTCAAACAGAAATGAGA